TATCCCGTTTAATGTGGCCATTCCTGCCACATCTAAAAGCACCTATATGTCCTGGAATCTTCTCTGGTTCTCTGTCTGGGTGTTGTTGACTCGCATTTTGTTTATTAGTAACTCACATAGTTTGTCGACTTTCTCTTTACACATCTCCCAAACCTGTGAGTGCTTTCGGGCTGTTCCTCGACCGTTACCGATCTTATCTTCGGTCTAGGGATGGCGCTAAAAGCGCTTCGATTTCCAGCGCCCTGACCAGTGCTTCTGCTGCTGGTAGAAAAATCGGGATATTTGCAGCGCCCTCTGTAATTCGTTGTCCCTCAGTCCGCTGATAAAGCACTGAGCAGCGAGTTCCCTCCTAAATCCGCCGGTGCTTCTGGATATGCCAGGTGTACCAGCCGACGTAAGTCTGCTTTCAAATTCCTGCAGACTCTCTCCGGACCTCTGCAGGCGTGTCTTGATCTGGGCCTGCAGTAAAGTTGGATGTCGATGTTGGTCGCCATATCTTCTGTCCAGTGCAGCGACCAAAGTTTGGTATTCCTGCTGTTGGGCTGCAGGAATAGTTTGCAACAGTTCCAAGAGCAGGGCCACGCAGCGCGATGAAAGATGCGCTGCTTTCTCCTGGTCACATCCATCGTTGGCAGCGGCGGCTGCTTCAAACTGACGGTGGTACATTGTCCATGTCGTTTGTCCATCGTAGGTCGGGGCCTTAAGGTTCGCTGTTCCTTGAACGCCAGGTGTCTTTACTTGTACCTGGTCTTCACAGGTCATCTCCAACCTTTTCTATCTTCTGCTGAAGGCGCTCCTCCAGATCTTCTACGGCTTCTTTGAGAGTGGTTCTGCTGTTCCTGGCAACGTACTTCCAACATTGCTTGAATGCTGTTCCCCAAGCTTTTCTGGAAGTCGAATTTCTTGATTTTCTAAAGTTTTCTTAAGACGGTCCTGATCTTCTTGTCTTTCTTTCTGGCAGCGCGTTTCTATATCTTCTAAAATTTCCCTCCATTCATTCTTCTGACGAATTTCTAAAAGTGCCTAAAAATTTTCTCAAGCCGGTCCTGTTCTTCCTTCTTCTTTGTCTTCGTTGTCGTTGAATTTCTCAAATCTTGGAAAATTTTTTCAAACCAGGTCCTGTTCTTTCTCTGTTTTTCTTTCTGGCGACGCACTTCTACAGATTTTCTACAATTTTCTCTCAACCGTTCTTGTCTGATTTTGTTGATTCTCCATAAGCATTTTCTGTAGTTGGTCTTGTTCTTCTTGGACGTCGTAATTTTTCCTCTTTTCTCTTCTCTCAATCGGGCTCGTTCTTCTTCTCGTTCTTTACGGAGTCTTTCTTGATCTTCTGCTTTTTCTTTTCGCAGCCTCCTCTTGTTCGTCTTGCCTTTTTCTCTTCTCATATTCTCCATAAAATCGCCCAATAATTTGCTTACTTCTCCATTTTTCTTCGCTTGCTGTCTCGTACCAACCATAAAAATTCCCAAATTCGGTGTAAAAATCGTCCAATCCACTTTATTTCTTAAAATCCTCTTGAATCCACTTCTGACACCAATTGTTACGGATTCCGTGGGTCCACTATTTTAAACTCACGATAAAATACTTAACGAATTTATTTTCTCACTCTTTATACACAATTACTAACTTATAACACACAACAAACTAACTATTTATAAGATTCCTTCACCAAATTGTCCGATTTTCAATTTCCACGCGGTATATTCAAATTTCAAAAACTCTCTCCAGTTGTCGATGGCTCCGGCTTATATACTCTATTGACTGCTTCTCGAAATTTCCCAATTCTCGGAAAGCGTACTTCTTCATACCAGACACATTCCATTGTCTGATTCCTTACTTCTCGACTTGACTAAAAGATGGCGTCTGAAAAAGTCTTTTAATTTCTGGCGTTGCGGTTGTGCACGCAACCAGTAATACATTTTTAATTTCTGGCGGATACGCCATTTTTCTTGACACATTGCGGTTGTGCAGGCAACCAGTAATACATTCTAGCCCTTGACCTTGACAATATATTATATTTCAGAAATCTGCCTAAGGCTTAGCCCGATCTTGTCGTTTTAGGCCATTCCTAAAATTCCACACATACCTGCTTTGATTAAAGCTTGATTAGGATTTGCAGAGCTTCAGCATTTGCCATAAAATAGAGAGCAATTTCTTACAAAACCATATAAATTATATATCACTGTAATCACAAAACTTCAATCTATTTCCGTATTGTAACGGAATTTTAAATTATGACTTTATTTTCGAGAAAATTTAGTCCAAACATAACGATTTAGTTGAAATTTGACCATCAAAATCTCAAAAATAAAGAAGTTGTCTAAAAATGTGCTACTATACGGATATAGTATAATCCTTTATCTTTAATTTCCTTCTTCATTTGTGTAAAAATACCTAGTCAGTTTTACATAAAACGTTAAATGCCGAACGCTTATTTTGCTACTTTTTCGGACTAGTGAAATGGACTCTTAATGTATTCTTCTGACAATTTAACAGCTCTTTCTGCAGTATCATTAACTACTCTCAAATTTAACTACTCTCTTTTTTTTTCTAAGCCTCTCATATATTCAGGATCCTTTAACCATTCCGTACTGTCTAACTGCAGAAAACTTGTATCAAATTAAACCGTGTAAAAAATTGTAACAAATTTGAATTTATGAAATAATCAATGTTTTGGTTTATAAACCATTTAAAATCATCCTGATTAAGCGTTTAGAATAACCGAACTCTTCGTCATTATTCACTTTTAAAACTTCAACCATTTTCTACTATAATAAGTATTAGAATTAACTACCTGTCATGCCTTCAGTTGTTTTCCATGATTTAAAATTGTTTATCATGCAGGGCCGTATCTGGGGGGGTGTTTTGGGGGTTCAAACCCCCCCTCCGAAATTATGGCCGAAAATTTTTAAAAAGTAATGATCATTAAGTAAGTAAGAACGAAACAAAAAAGAAGAAGAAGAAGATGGACGAATATCAATGACTAAAGAATATTAAGGACATGTAACGCCCATATATACGGGCTGCAGCAGAATTTGTGACCTTTAGACGCCAACTTTTTAGACATAACGAATGAATCATCAGCTGGTCATCAGCGACAATTTTAGCGATTTTAATAGTTGGTTGTGTGTAGTGAAGTTTGTATAAACTTTATTACAATGGTAATTTGTTCAGCTTTCAAGTGTAAAAGGCGCAATGATAAGAAAGAGCCAGAAGTTACGTTTTATAAGGGAAATAAACAGTCCCCTACACCTTTTTAGCGTTTTTTTGTTGAATTCGATAATTATTTTTCTGATATTATATGTACTTGATATGTACTATACGTCGATACTAGTTATGTAACTTTTGTTAACATTTTAATACGTTTTTTTCGTAATTAATTAGTATGATACCACCCGATACACCATAGGCGTAGTGAAAACATGTTAAGTAAAATATGTGCCACGGCACTGTCTGGAAGAATGGTCACAGTCTGGTCTCGGGTGCTATTTGTCCTTGTATTTTTTAGTCATTGATGAATATACATTATACACCCTAACCTCACTTTTCCACTTTGAAAGCAAATGTCATTTTCGATTTTCGACTTTCAACGTTCAAGTTAGTGTTTAAAACAGCAAAAGTTTGACAAGGACAAGATTTTGAATGTTGTGTGTTTTGCTTGTCATTAACGTGATTAACGTTTGTTATTGTTCTGCTATTAGACAAAGAATTCTTGGACTATGACACTTTAGCGGCAGAACTAGACTTGTGGCGGCAAAAATGGAAGCAGCTACCTGCAGTCGACCGACCTAAAAACGCCATCGAAACGATAATCGGAGTGTAACCAGTGTATATTTCCAAATATATACATTTTATTAGTGATCCTAGCAACTCTACCAGCGTCAACAGCTACACCAGAAAGGTCTTTTACAAACCTAATGCCGCAACCGTGCATGCGGTATTCGGCGATCTCCGATCGGGGCTTCGCCGATTTCCTATGTGTGTAGATGAGGAAGTCGGAGTTCGGCGACTCGATCGGCGACGAGAACGAGCGCTCATCTCTATGTTGTTGCTATCAGAGCCCGCATGTGTGGATGGAAAGGCGAAGTCCGATCACGAGCGTTCGGTAGTTGACGAGCGCTCGGAGTTCGCTAAATGCCGCATGTGCTGTTGCGGCATAAGACGATTGAAGGAGTTCCTACGTAACTCTAGAGGTCAGGAGCGATTGACAGGACTTGCTCTATAAAGCGTACATAGAGAAATAAATATCGATATCGAAGAGGTACTCAATCGTTTTTCCAGGGAAAAGACCAGTTTATCCTTTAAGATTAAGAATTTTTACCTGTTACTTTTTTAAAATTTTATTTTCAATTAAGATTTGAGTGTAGCCCAAAGCGATTTTTTTATTATGCTTTTTTCCTAGCAGCTTTTGTACCCCCCCCCCTTCAAGCCAAACCCCCTCCGAAATTTTGGTCTAGATACGGTCCTGTTATCATGGTATCATGAAAATTGCTTTTTTTTTTCAAATAATAGATTAAATTTTTCAAAAATAAGCATAATTTTGTGAAAAAAGTTGAAAAATTTAGGAATTTGTAAGGTTAACTTTAACCCTGAGTAGGTTTTTTGAAGGAGTAGGTTTATCGATAAATTGTAAGAGACCATTTTTGTAGAGCGTTCAATTCTGTACAAGAATGTGTGATTGTCATGGCTGCGAGAGAACAAGACAGAGAGAAAAAAATGATTTGCAAAAAGTGGCAAATTCCCATGTAATTTAAATCGGAAATAAATCGTCGTTGAGGCAAGGTTTATTGTAAATATTAAGTGTGTACAATGATCAGTTATTTTTTTTAGACAATAAACTAAAAATTTAGAGGGCGTCGTGAGAGAAATGATCAACTTTGTAAATAACGGACACCCTAATAAGCAGCTTCTCTCAGTAGCGTAAGTATGAATATTTTTATTAAAGAAAGATACCTTAAAAAATGTAGATATAATATGTTTTATGCGTTTTGAATACAAACCTTTCATTTTTGATGTCGTTGTTATTATTGTGCAGAGCGTATTCTGTAGAACTCAGCGATGTCGTTAACATTTCGTTGTTATTGGATGAAGTTTTATCTATTCGTTTCTTTCTTAACGTTTTTGAGGGTGCTAGAGAATGATCCATTTTTTCGGTAGGACTCGTTGCATTCCCTGAAAAAGAAAATATTGCATGTATTACTACATTCCAGAAATTCAAGTATTATCAAATCAAGTCATTATAGAAATTTAATTATAACATATATCTATGAAAATCGGAATACGTAGAGGTAGTTTAACTGACCAAGACTCTCATGGTCTTGGTCTTGCAGTTTATAAGTAGTCTTGGTCTTGGTCTTGCGCAAGACTGTTGCAAGTCTTGCATTTTTGACTAGGTGCACTTTCTATATAGAAAATTTTTAAATTAATTCCGTACCCAAAGGGTAAAAACGGGAACCCTATTACTAAGACTCCGCTGTCCGTCCGTCTGTTATAAAGGTCTATCTTATGAACCGTTATAGCTAGACAGGTGAAATTTTTACAGATAATGTATCTATGTTGCCGCTATAAGAACAAATACTAAAAACAGAATTAAATAAATGTTTATAAATAAAAAAGTACTTTCACTAAACATTATCTTTTAAGTAAGAATTTTACATAGAATCAAGTCCTCTCGGTGGCCGCGTGGTTAAAGCGTTAGGACTTTACGCTGCTATGACGTTGGAGCCGTAGTAAGGCAGGTTCGAATCCTAGTCAAGGCGACTTTGTTTTAATCGTTTTTTTTTTAAATTTTTACATATTTTTACATATTTATTTTTACTTTTTACATATTTATTATTGATTAATACAATTTTTAGTAATGTGTTTCTTCATTTTTTTTAAATTACTTATACGCGCATTCAAAATTTCAGCTAAATCGGAAAAAGTTTATAATAATATAGTGTCTAATGTTGCATAGATAATGAATGGTACGGAACCCTTCGTGCGCGAGTCCAACTCGCACTTGACCAATTTTTATTTTTTATAATTTAATGCAAATCAAACTTAAAGGAATGAAATTATTTGTATATTTGTCTGACAATTTTTTTTTCGATATACAGGGTGGTCCGAACTGTATTCCGGAAACTTCGGCAGCATATTCTGCAGATAAAAATAAGTAAAAAAGTCCGTATAAATTTATGTTCTAAAATGCTTTGTTTCGGAGATACAGGGTGTAGAAGTTTTATTTTTGTATCGATTTTTTCCAAATAATTTTGTATATAATTAAGTAAGGTCAATATTTGGATGAAAATTGGTATTTGAGAGTTTATTGACATGAGAAATTTGATTTTGATGTCCTACTTGTAGAAATCGCCACTTACATATTTTTTAACTGGTTTGAAGACTACTTTTCGTATCTACCTGTATAAAACTACTGGAGTAAAAAAATATACATTTACGACGTTTTTTACGTAAAAAAGGTATCTTGTTAAAAATCGTTACGATTAATGATTCTCGGGATATTTGGAATCTAAATTATCAATACCCTGTCATCATTGACATAAATTAAACATGTTGACTAAATAGTTATTAGACTGAAATCATAAATTTTAAATGTTTTTGTGCCAAAGTTCAACAGAAACTGTTTTATGATAATTTTTTCGAAAAAAAATTATAATTAATTTAAAAAAATAAATTCCCAAATTTATCATTTCATCAATCAAACACTATCTACCAAAAAACTCATCCTTAGTATGCCAAATAGGCTCAGAGCTGTAATACGCAGTGGTGGACAAATACCTGGTATATTGAAATTTGGACAAATACGCAAGGTCTTGCACCCGGTATATCCCCAATGGGTCATTGAATTGAATAAATATTATGCCCGATATATCCCAGTATACTTACTTTGTTAATTTTAACTATTTGTTGTTAAATTTGACATTATTAAACATCTAAAAGGTCAGAAAATCACCAGTTGAAAGAATGCACAGAAGCCAATAAATTATAGCAAAAAACACGATAGCACAACGCCGACGCGACGGGGTATTCACCGACGATTCGATTGTAAATACCCGGTATAATATCAAGAATATACCAGTGCATACCGGGTATATATCTACAATATTTCTCAATAATTGAATCTTAGGAATACTTCTCAATAACTGAATTAGGATTGATTGACGTATTTAATTGCTTTTTCTTCCTGTTTCGCCGGAAATTACTACAACTTTTGATTTTTAAGTAGCACCTACGGTATATTTCTACTTTATTCGATAGAAAATGACATTCTGAGTAGAATGACATATCACATGTCAACTTTTGACATTTTCGCTTAAAAAAAATCGTATTTTAAACTTAAATCTAGAGCGCCATGGCTGTCTTAAAAACATTAATTTTTAATCAAGGAGTCTTGGAAAAATAGATTTGCTCTTCTAATGTTTTTCGTGTCTTGCTCTGGCCGGTTAAAAGATACCTAAAACGTATTTTTAATCATATCTCAATTTTTTCAAATGGATCTAGTGTGGCTCATTGTCAAGTAATATGTATGGAAATTTTCTTTACGTTGTTTTGTTGAAAATTTAACTAATTTTAGGTTATTTCGATAATAAACTAGTACTTCGAGTTGTTGCTTATTTATTTATCATAAAGCAAGATAATATGAGATTTAAATATAGCTTTTTCATTTAATTAATACATCCAAACATTGAAAAAGCTTATGTATTTAACAAAAATAGTATGTGTATGGAGACGTTTTTGATAGACCTTAGGTGCAACATTAAAGTGAGTTCAATCTTTCAAATATATTAATAAATTTGTACGCGTATTCGAAAATGACTTTCGTGTTTTTCAGAGGAGCTGCTGAAGATGCAACAATCAGCAATTCTTTTAATCTTCGGCAAGAAGCTTTAATAGACTCTTTTTATGGAAAAATGCCTTGTCATCTTTTGGTAATTCTCGTAACAAAAACTGTTGATGGCCGCTAGGCTCTCCGATGAGAGCAATAACCAATGAATGAGTAATGCAGCAAATTCAAACTTTAGGGCAAATATAAAATCATCTAAAGATAATTTTTTCATAAAAGATGAATTTCTTTTTTAGAGAGATTTCTTAGCAAAGTAATTTTAGATATCTATTTATAATAACAATACAGGGTTGTTCACCACATACGACACGGAGTATTGTAGCTAAACGATGATATTTTTACAAATTGTAAGTTTTGGGTTCGATGAAGGACTATTAGAGGTACAATTTAAAAATAATTTTACAAGATACAGAGTGTCCCAAATAAGTAAAAAATATCAAAGTTGTATTTTTTAAATGGAACACCCTGTATATTATTACATTTTTAGTTTCTACGATTGAAATAAAGGTCAATTTGATTAAGGTTTATTATACTTAAACCTTACCGTTTTTGAAATATTTTCAATTTTGTGAAATTGCAGTAAAAATTTTAAGGCTTCATTTCTCCAAGGGTATCAAAGTTTTTAATACTAAATATTTACTGAAGTTTATTTACTGATCAGTTATTGTGTTGCAATAATAAAAATAATACTACCTTATACAGAGTGTCTAAAAATTTATTTTAAATAATTATTAGCTTCAAACGGCAATAACTTGTTTAATATAAATGAAACACCCTGTATATTTTACGAGAATCAGATGCACAATTTAATTGTCTATCAAATTACATTATACCATTTTTTACTTATCTCTTTAAGTTTCCGTAGAAAATGCATTTTCTTGTAATTTAGAACTTATTTATCAATATACCCATGGACTATTGACATTTTAGATTATTTTTAAAGATGTACCAAATTTTTAAAGAGTACAGATACTAATATTGTCGATATAATTCGTTTATTTCATTAAAAAATAAAAAAAAACTGTTTAAATATTTCTTAAAGGGGACCAATTAATATGATTCCAGTATTCAAACTACATTAACTGACTGTTTGCGTTGATTAATAATAATTGCTCCAAATACTAAAAAGCTGAATTTTGTATGGGCATTAGACAGTGTGATAAAAAGTAACACCTTAAAAATGATATTTCAAAAATCCACATTTATTTATAATAATTTATTAACGAACACAATTAAGTATGTCATTAATTAGTATATGGGCGGAAATAATGGTTATATTTAATTAATGGTATACTCTTTTATAAAGATTTAAATAGTTTTCTTTTTGCATACAAATGGGCTAGTAATATTATCGTTTTGCTAAAAACGATAATATTACTAGTCTGTACATTTTGTACATTTGTTGCTTTAAAAACAATCTAAAATGTCAATATTCCATGGATATATTGATAAATGAGATCTAAATTATAAGAAAATGCATTTTCTACGAAAACTTGAAGAGATAGGTAAAAATGGTATAATACAATTTGATAGACAATTTAATTGTGCATCTGATTCTCCTAAAATATACGGGGCATTCTATTTAAATTAAAGAAGTTATTGCCGTTTGAAGCAAATAATTATTTAAAATAAATTTTTAGACACTCTGTATAAGGTAGTATTATTTTATTATTGCAACACAATAACTGATCAATAAATAAACTTCATTAAATATTTAGTATTAAAAACATTGATACCCTTGGAGAAGTGAAGCTTTAAAATTTTTCTGCAATTTCACAAAATTGAAAATATTTCAAAAACGGTAAGGTTTAAGTATAATAAACCTCAATCAAATTTACCTTTATTTTAATCGTAGAAAATAAAAATGTAATAATATACAGGGTGTTCCATTTAAAAAAATACAACTTTGATATTTTTTATTTATTTGGGACACTCTGTATCTTGTAAAAATATTTTTAAATTGTAGCTCTAATAGTCCTTCAACGAACCCCAAACTTACAATTTGTAAAATCTCATCGTTTAGCTACAATACTCCGTGTCGTATGTGGTGAACAACCCTGTATACAGGGTGTCTCAGATTTTAATCGGGAAAATTTAATAGAACATAGAACTTGCAAAAATAAAACAAAAAGTTCATATCAACTTGTAAGATTTAAAACTTCCTTTTCGAGATGCAGGGTGTTAAAGTTACTTAAAAAATAAAAAAAAATAAGATATTTGAAAAACTATTTAATCGATTTTGATATAACTTGACCCGTTTATATTACTTACTATGGGACTTAATTTGATGTAATTAGATTTAAGTTTAATGGCCAGGGGCGGCAGTGGC